TTTTTTTTGAGACGGAGATTTGCTCTTGTTGCCTAGGCTGGAGTGCATCAGCACGATCTTGGCTCACTGCAACCTCTGCCTCCTGGGTTGAAACCATTCTCCTGCCTCAGCCTCCTGAGTAGCTGGAATTATAGGTGCCCGCCACCACGCTGGCTAATTTTTTTTTTTTTGAGAGAGAGTTTTGCTCTTGTCGCCCAGGCTGGAGTGCAGCAGTGTGATCTTGGCTCACTGCAACCTCTGCCTCCCAGGTTCAAGCGATTCTCCTGGCTCAGCCTCATGAGTAGCTGGGACTACAGGCGCGTGCCACCACGCCCGGCTAATTTTTTGTGGTGGCTAATTTTTTGTATTTTTAGTAGAGACCGGGTTTCATCATGTTGGCCAGGCTGGTCTCAAATTCCTGACCTCAGGTGATCCACCCGCCTCGGCCTCCCGAAGTGCTGGAATTACAGGCGTGAGTCTTTGCGCCTGGACTCCATGTCTTTGTTTTGTTTTGTTTTTGGTAAGAATTCTTGCTGTGTTGCCCAGGCTGGTCTTGAACTCCTGAGGTCAAGCGATTCTCTTGCCTTAGCCTCCCGCATAGCTGGGATTACAGGCACACGCCACTGCACCTGGCATTCCCATTATTTTTTAGTTCATATTTTGTAAATTTTTCTGTTTGTGATGAAAACTGCTTTTTTTTTTCCTTTAAATGTGTGATTTTTTTTTTTTTAAATGTGTGATTCTAAAAGGTTTGCTCCATTTTACTTGTGATTTAATTCTTCCTCAGGTTTGGAATATTTCTGAAAAGAACATATCGCACATGCCTTTCCTCTGTCTGGAGTACTCCCTGCCCCCATCCTTAGTACTCAGCTTTCAGGTCTCGGCTTTGGTGTATTTCCTCGGTAAACCTTTCCTGAGCTCCCATTACACACTTTCAAACTCCAAGCACTTTTCCTTAGTAACATTTATCACAGTTGTATTTATATAATCGTTGGATTAATTATTTGTCTTCCTTGCTAGACTCTAAACTCCTTAAGGGCATTGACACTGACCTTAAATGCTGCATCCCTAGCACCTGACATATGAGGGGATTTTATACCGAAATTGTTTTTTCAGTATTGACTCGGAAGAAGGAAACTAGAATTTCTCACTGGTTGTGTCAGAGCTGGAAGGGGTTTGGAGTATATAGCATGACAGGTGAGGACACTTGCCTAAGACTTTCTGGAGAGTTAGTTGCGGCTGGACCTTCATCCTAGGTCAGTGCTGTTCCCTTTGTGCCATATTTCCCCTTTAAGGAGCACCTCAGTCTTGTAAGATAAAGTCCAGGGGCAGTTTATTTTTATTCCCAGGGAGAATTGATTTGAATTGTGTTAGAACTGTCTGAAGATAGCCTGGGGGCTCTTCTTCCCTTCAGATGGCTCTGGAACCTCAGCATGGCTGCAAGATGCAGAACAGGGCCTCAGTGAACGGGCACGGGGCTGGTGCTCACACACCGAGGTCTCAGGCCATTTTCAGGTGGCATAGAAACACCTTCTAGCTGAAGTGGTTGCGGAAATAGATCATAGAACATTATTAGTGACCTTAGATTTTATTTTGGCTAATTGGATATTAGCTAAAAAGGATTCATGTAGGGTTGTATCTTGTTTTAAATATGTTTGAAAGTTTTAATTAATCTGTTAGTTTGTTACCTGTGAACAGGGAAGCATGTTATTTGTTAATTAGTAAACTTCGGAACTTGCTATGTTCCAGGTACCAGTATAGGAGCTGCTTCTAGCCTATACAGGAAGTCTGTTTTCTAAATGCATCAGAATCACCTGGGGACACTTTTAAAAATACAGAATCCTGGGCCCCACCCCAGCCTTTGGGCTCAGAATCTCCTGGGTGGGGCCTGGAGATCTGTATTTGGATGGAGCTACATAGGCGGGCTTGGGGGTCACTGCTGTAAGAAATCCAGGAGTGCCTGCTGCCCTCCTGCTGGTCTCTCAGACCCAGTTCAGGCATCCTGTCCTCTGGGTAGCCTTCCCTGGGGAGCGCGATGCCTGGCTCGTAGTGGGCATTCAGGAACTCTTTGACTATGACTTTTCCATCCTGGCTATTCTGGCTGTGCTGATCTGGGAAAGGCTGCCACATTCACCTTGCTAAAATGCTGCCTTTTTAATTTTTATTTATTTATTTATTTATTTTTTGAGACGGAGTCTTGCTCTATCGCCAGGCTGGAGTACAGTGGTATGATCTCGGCCCACTGCAACCTCTGCCTCCCAGGTTCGAGCAATTCTCCTGTCTCAGTTTCCTGAGTGGCTAGACTGTAGGCACCTGCCACCACACCCAGCTAATTTTTGTATTTTTTTAGTAGTGACCGGGTTTCACCATGTTGGCCAGGATGGTCTCAATCTCTTGACCTCGTGATCCGCCCGCCTCAGCCTCCCAAAGTGCTGGGATTACAGGCATGAGCCACCATGCCTGGCCAAAATGCTGCCTCAATGTATCAGTTCCATTCAGAACCTCCAGTGGCTTCTGGCTACCTGTCCTCCCAGGTCATGTCAATGTCCTGGACCCAAAGCAGTGGCTGAGCTTCCTGAGTTCTAGGACAAGCTGTTCCTTCTCATGGCGCTTTGCCTGCTCTGCTTCTGAGCATCTGTTGTCTCATTCTGTCAAGTGCAGTCTGACACTTGTAAAACTTAGATCAAGACTTATCCATTCCATGGGCCTTTCCTGCTGGATCAGGTTTG